TTTCTTCCAGAAGTGACGCTTGACATTCAGGCCAAAGAGTTCAATCTTGGTTTCATCAGACCAGAGAATCTTGTTTGTCATGGTCAGAGTCCTTTAGGTGCCCTTTGGCAAACTCCAAGCGGGTTGTCATGTGCCTTTTTTTGAGGAGTAGCTTCCGTCTGGCCATTTTACCATAAAGGCCTGTTTGGTGGAGTGCTGCAGAGATGGTTGTCCTTCTGGAAGGTTCTCCCATCTCCACAGAGAAACTCTGGAGCTCTGTCAGAGTGACCATCAGGTTCTTGGTCACCTCCCTGACCAAGGCCCTTCAACCCCCGATTGCTCAGTTTGGCCGGGTGGCCAGCTCTAGGAAGAGTCTTGGTGGTTCCAAACTTCTTCCATTTAAGAATGATGGAGGCCACTGTGTTCTTGGGGACCTTCAATGCTGCAGAAATGTTTTGGTACCCTTCCCCAGATCTGTGCCTCGACACTATCCTGTCTTGGAGCTCTATGGCTTGGTTTTTGCTCTGACATGCACTGTCAACTGTGGGACCTTATATAGACAGGTGTTTGCCTTTCCAAATAATGTCCAATCAATTGAATTTACTACAGGTGGACTCCAATCAAGTTGTAGAAACATCTCAAGGATGATCAATGGAAACAGGATGCGCCTGAGCTCAATTTCGAGTCTCATAGCAAAGGGTACTTATACTTATGTAAATAAGGTATTTCTGTTTTTTATTTGTAATACATTTGCGTACATTTCTAAAACCTGTTTCGTTATGGGGTATTTTGTGTAGATTGATCAGGACAATTTTGTATTAAATACATTTGAGAATAAGGCTGTAACGTAACAAAATGTGGACAAAGGGAAGGGGTCTGAATACTTTCTGAATGCACTGTATATTTAAACAGAAATGAACTAAGTTTGTCATAAACTTTCATGACACTCATCTCGGTTGTGCAGCCACTAGACTAGAGTTGTCCTGAACTGAACCATTTCAGTCATCAGCTCATTTACAGCCTGGTCCCAGATATGTGCGGTCTTGCCAACTCCTAAGGTCACACAACAACACAAAACAGATCTGGCAAGCTTTTCTATTGTGTGGGCTAATATACACTGAGTGTACAAAACATTAAGGACACCTGCTCTTTCCATGACATAGACTGACCAAGTGAATCCAGGTGAAAGCTATGATCCCTTATAGATGTCACTTGTTAAATCCACTTCAATCAGTGTAGATGAAGGGGAGGAGACAGGTCAAAGAAGGATTTTTAAGCCTCGAGACAATTGAGACATGGATTGTGTATGTGTGCCATTCAGAGGGTGAATGGACAAGACAAAATATATGTGCCTTCGAACGGGGTATGGTAGCAGGTGCCAGGCGCACCGGTTTGTATCAAGAACTGCAACGCTGCTGGGTTTTTCCACGCTAAACAGTTTCCCGTGTGCATTAAGAATGGTCCATCACCCAAAGGACATCCAGCCAAATTGACACGACTGTGGGAAGCATTGGAGTCAACATCCCTGGTGAATGCTTGACACCTTGTATAGTCCATGCGCCGACGAATTGAGGCTGTTCTGAGGGCAAAAGGGTCTGCTAAGTGACTAAAATGTAAATGTAAAAAGGGGGTGCAACTCAATATTAGGAAACCCTTCACTCACTCTTCCTCCTCCTGACGTTAGAGCGCAGTTTTTCCTGTCACCAGCAGGGGGCTCTGCATTACAATAATAACCTAACACACTGTACATTTTCCGGAAGAGGAAATCATCGAACCAGCCTAGCAACCAGCCTAGCAATCCAGTCATTAGTGCTGAGCGATTAGTGCTTTTTGACGTCGGTTCGGTTTGATTATATAAATACATTTTTTTTTAAATCAGCGTTTTAGATTTAGAAAATAAATAAATAAAAATGAAATGCATTATGAAAAATTGACATTACAATGATTTTAGAGCTTTTTAATGAAAATTCCAGAGCGAAAAACTGTGAACATTCAATTGCCAAAACATAGAAAATATTCCATTGTCTCTGTCAGGTCCACATTGGGTAGACATCAATAGAAAAATAGTAAATTACTATGAAATAATACAATATTTCAGTTGTGTATATTATTTAGTTCTGACCTGATGACTTTATAAATGTTTTATTCCTTAAAGTCATCATCTCATCTCTGCTCAGGCAGTAGCAGTCAGTCAGCCAGTTATCTCTGTTCTCCCCATACTGTACTGTCTTTAGTCATCCTATTTCGCTAGCCTGCCTAAGTATGCTGCAGAGCTGTCTGACCAAATTATTTGACTAGTTCTTCAAAGTAGATAAGGCATTCTTTCACCACCTGTCTCAGTCCCTCGTCATTGTGTTGTGTGGTCTGTGTGTATTTAACCTGTCTCAGTCCCTCGTCATTGTGTTGTGTGTGGTCTGTGTGTATTTAACCTGTCTCAGTCCCTCGTCATTGTGTTGTGTGTGGTCTGTGTATTTAACCTGTCTCAGTCCCTCGTCATTGTGTTGTGTGTGGTCTGTGTGTATTTAACCTGTCTCAGTCCCTCGTCATTGTGTTGTGTGTGGTCTGTGTGTATTTAACCTGTCTCAGTCCCTCGTCATTGTGTTGTTTGGTCTGTGTATTTAACCTGTCTCAGTCCCTCGTCATTGTGTTGTGTGTGGTCTGTGTGTATTTAACCTGTCCCAGTCCCTTGTCATTGTGTTGTGTGTGGTCTGTGTGTATTTAACCTAACGTAGCAGGCGTAAAAGTGTATCCGTCCAGAGATCTATATATAATGACGAGACGCTGATGTCTCCGCCCTAACAATGGGAGTTGTTGTCCCAAAGGAGGGAAGGCAGGCGACAAGTTTAGGTCCAGAATAAACCCATTGCGCTTAGTTTGGACAGATTTTGTCGCCAGTTAATCCTCTCGCTTCGGCTTTTCCTCTCTGACCCGCCTCTGAGCCGGAACAAACTGGCGCAATAGATTATGGTCATTGTAGTTAATTACCACGTTTCTGCGCTGAACAAGGTTGAATATTTGCTTAATGAAAACTACAACTCCTTCAGCCAAGTTCTTGATTTACTTTCTCCGATTTCTCTCGTGAATTATTTGATTTGTCTAGAGAAAACGGCGCGTTGGGCTCACAAAAAAAAACGAACTAAATGGTGTTCAAGTAATTGAACCGAAGTCGGTCAATTAGTTGTTTATTAACAGAAAAAAAAGTTAGTTAATCGCTCAGCACTACCAGTCATCAAACCTGAAGCAATACGGTCCAGTAAATACTAATACACCACCATATTAAGAGCAGGATCATTGTTCTTGTATTTACACAAAAACATGATCCAATATGTGCAATTGACAATAATAAACAAATCAGTGATAAACAAAAATAAGAAAAGAAACATTGGGTATGCATGCACATCATTTTGCAGATGCAATGTATATCAACAACGTAATGCCAGCAGAGGAATAACGCAATACAATAATTGCAAATGTGTAAGAGAATGAATGAATGAATGAATGAATGAATGAATGAATTAGTGAGTGAGAGACAGCAGGCTACATGTGCAGTAGCCCAAAATGTAGTTTTTTGGAAAGAGCACTTTGCCAGGGCCTTCTTCTCAATTCCTGAGGCTTACTACCATCACATTACATTTTAGTCATTTAGCAGACGCTCTTATCCAGAGCGACTTACATGAGCAATTAGGGTTAAGTGCCTTGCTCAAGGGCACAGACAGATTTTTCACCTAGTCGGCTCTGGGATTAGAACCAGCGACCTTTCGGTTACTGGCACTACGCTCTTAACCACTAAGCTACCTGCCGACCGTTCAGCACAGTATGATATTGGCTTTGAATTCCATTCCACAGAGATTAAGAATAAAACAGTATGGAAGTTGTAAGGTTAAAAAATAAAAAAGCTCCCTTTCTGCAGTATAAAACATACCAGCTGGGCTCATTGGTTAACACATACTGTACACTTATGGCATAGTTGCATTTGATTTTGGTCCACAGATTGTCCATTATTGGGAAGCAGCACAAGAGAGAAAACGGGCTTCAACCCCATTAAGCAACCTCTGGTATTCATTCAACAGAGCATTTTATAATTAAAAGGCATAGCAAACGTGATAATTTTGCTTTACAGGTGCTTGAGTATAATGGGTCCTGCCCTAGATGGACGTGACCTTTAACACTATAAGTTTAGTCAATGTGAGTCCCTTGAGTCCTGCCATATAACGTATTAAAGTGATATTGCAGCCATTCTTGCAAACGCTTAAATTCAACAAATTATGGTCTCTACACGGATACTTACAGTCTACTTCATTCTAAAAGGCCATACACCCTTTCCTTCTACTCACGCTCACCCTTCATTCTCCAGTCACCCTTCCATTCACAGTTCCACCTTCCATTCCACAGCCTCACCTTCCATTCTCCACAGCCTCCCTTCCATTCCTCACAGACTCACCCTTCCATTCCCAAGTATCAACCTTCACAATTTATCAACTCACCCTCCATTACTCCAGTCTCACCCTTCCATTCCTCACAGCCTCACCCTTCCATTCCTCACAGTCTCACCCTTCCATTCCAACACGGTACTTCACAGCCTCACCCTTCCATTCCAAGACACTAGCTCATTGGTTCCTACCAGGACAGTAGTTATGCATTTTAGACCGTAAAGCTCTACGGTTCCTACCCTGACAGTAGTCTACTATGGACCCAGAGAGGCAGCTCGGAATTCTTTAAAAGATGCCATTTCCTTTAAGCAAGCGACAGGACATAATTCAGTCACAGTTGTTGTTGTAGATGATCATTTCTCAACAGGTTAAATGTTGCTCACCACAGTTCTGCACAAAATGGTAGGCTATAGTTTTGGCCTTTCTCTGTCTAAAGCAGGAAACGTGATGGTCATGTCAACGGTGGCTTTGAGCAGTGAGCACCGCGAAACATACCTCACAGACCACCACACTTTAGTTCCCAGTGTACATACAGTAGGCACAGTAACAGGCCTCCCCCATTGGGTGTCTGATGCACTCGCTATCCTAGACCATAGACTGCAGGTCATCTCCATCATCCGCTCGATCAGCCAGGTTTCCTGCGATCCCCGTCACCATGAGGCTCTGAAGCAGGCTGGTCGGTATGGCCGGTTTGAACGACCAGTTCCTGGACGTCACGAAGGGGAACGACGACGACAGCCTCACCGAAGACCTGGATGCGATCTCCGCCGCTGTCTTGGCCCTGGGCCTCGCCCCCTTGTGGTTGGAGGCTAGAGTGCAGCCGTGACGGTCCAGCTCTCTCTGCAGCTCCTGAACCTCCGCCAGTATCTCAGAGACCTTACTCAGCACGGCCACTGGACCCCCTCCTAGGATCTGGACGTCATGGATCCAGCGCAGGTACCTTTTTCATAGAAAGACAGAACACTAGAATAGCCATTGGACATCCCAGTAATGTGACTCAAATGGCGGCCATCTTGGTCAGGGAATCTTTCATTTTAGAAACGTATCAACTATAGTCAAATATGGTATATATTAATATTATATAAAACAATGAATTTGTAGATATAATAAGTATGTATGTCGCACAATAGGTTTCTAAGCTCAAGGGTATTTTCCTGGTGAAATAAAGGTTAAAGGGTGACTGCACTTCCTGATATGGCCTCGTTTTAGATTTTGTTCATTAAAGAAATGATAGCGGCCATGACTAAATTAAAAGTAAACGTGAGTTGGTTTCGAGGGTGAAGGGGGGGGGGGGGGGGGGGGGGGTTTGATGTGGGTGTCTCGTGTGTGTTCGCAGGTGGTAAGAGTTAGCCAAATTATTTCACCAATTAGCTTCAGCCGGCTGGTGTGCGACCATGGCAAAGTTGGCTAGACTTTGGATAGCCAATCTCCGGGGATAGCTAATGTAAATGAGACAATATTTCCATGTTGTAGATCTTTTAATTGTCTCATTAAATGCTTTCAATAATTTTATAATTTTTATAATTTATATAGTTCGTCATTTTTTTTTTGCTATTGACCTTTTAAAATATGTAGATTGTGTAATTTATTTATGGTCCTTAACGAGCCCCATATCGAATGTCAAACCAAATTGACCATGGGTAATACGATCAGGTTGCGTGCAGCTGTGCTTCGAATTGATGATTACTTGGGCGCTGCCAGCTGTGGGCAGGATTGATGATTACTTGGGCGCTGCCAGCTGTGGGCAGGATTTAAATAAACCTAACCCAAGGAAAACTGTTACCGTACTCTTCATTCCTATCATCTCGCAAATCTCAGTTTTGGACGAGACTGACTTTATGACCAAAATGATCCTATTTACACTTGGTAGTCCCTTTTGACAGTAGAATAAATGTTTGACTCAAATCAATGCCACATAGGCCATTTAATAAAAAAAAGGAAAAGTTGCTTTTTTTAGGGGAAGTCGCTCTCTCCCTCTTTGGGCAGGTACCTCTGCATCCAGACACGTATGGAGGGCCCGTCCAGGCAGGGGAGCAGCAGACCGTGGTAGTCCAGAGGTTTCGCCTGCCATGCCTCGTAGAACTCCCTGGCTGAAGAGGAGGTCTGAGGGGAGTCTGAGGGAGACAGCATCCAGCGACTGATCCTCTTTACACGGAGGATTTTCTTTAGGCTGTCCGCCTCGTCTTTAAAGAAGCCTTTCTTAGGGGGGGTCTTGAAGGCCGAGCTGGGCAGGGACAGTTGGCGCAGGTGCTGGAAGGTAGGAATAGAAGAGTTTTTTGGTTTTTATTTTGTTCGAGACAGGTTCTATTTGATCAGCATAATGTTGGAATATAATTAACGGACAATGATACAGTTGAATGGAGTTGGAGATCGAGCGAGAGAAAGATTACCTTGGGCCTGTGTGATTTCCTCACAGACTTGTCCTGCTTGGGCTTCTCGGCATACAAAGGGTTAGTGAAGAGATCCTGTGCCTTGCAGTCAAACTGCACCGACCAGTCCCACACTGTAGGGCAGTTCAATGGGCCTCTTTGTGTGTGGGGCGACTCGGCCTGCCAAGACAAGCAAACACAGTCAGGCTGGGTGTGAGAGGGTGTATGGGGGGGGGGGGGGGGGGGGGGGGGGGGGGGGGGGGGGCATACTGTATGGTACAGGCTGGGTGTGAGAGAGGGTGTATGGGGGGGGGGGGGGGGGGGGGGGGCATTGAGGCTATGTATGGTACAGGTGGGTGTGAGAGGGTGTATGGGGGGGGGGGGGGGGGGGGGGGGGCATACTGTATGGTACAGGCTGGGTGTGAGAGGGTGTATGGGGGGGGGGGGGGGGGGCATACTGTATGGTACTTAGGTGCTGGGTGTGAGAGGGTGTATGGGGGGGGGGGGGTGGGGGCATATGTATGGTACAGGCTGGGTGTGAGAGGGTGTATGGGGGGGGGGGGGGGATATGTATGGTACAGGCTGGTGTGAGAGGGTGTATGGGGGGGGGGGGGGGGGGGGGCTATTATGGTACAGGCTGGGTTGTGAGAGGGTGTATGGGGGGGGGGGGGGGGGGGGGGGGCGCATTACTGTATGGTACAGGCTGGTTTTGGGAGGGGTGTATGGGAGGGGCATACTGTATGGTACAGGCTGGTGGGGCTGTTTACCCTTTTGGAGAATGGCGGAGGGAGGACAGGCTCATTGGAACGGCTGGGACGGTAATGGAAACGACGGTCACTGTTCAATTCATTCAATTCCAGACGTTACAATGAGCCCGTCCTCTGATTTAAAATGACACCAGCCTCCACTGGACCATAGGGGTACTGGTGTAACACAGCTAGGAGAGACAGGGTCTGACGTCCAGACATCTACACTACAGGGTGACACGGCTAGGAGAGACAGGGTCTGACGTCCAGACATCTACACTACAGGGTGACACGGCTAGGAGAGACAGGGTCTGACGTCCAGACATCTACACTACAGGGTGACACGGCTAGGAGAGACAGGGTCTGACGTCCAGACATCTACACTACAGGGTGACACGGCTAGGAGAGACAGGGTCTGACGTCCAGACATCTACACTACAGGGGTGACACGGCTAGGAGAGACAGGGTCTGGCGTCCAGACATCTACACTACAGGGTGACACGGCTAGGAGAGACAGGGTCTGACGTCCAGACATCTACACTACAGGGTGACAGCTAGGAGAGACAGGGTCTGACGTCCAGACATCTACACTACAGGGTGACACGGCTAGGAGAGACAGGGTCTGACGTCCAGACATCTACACTACAGGGTGACACGGCTAGGAGAGACAGGGTCTGACGTCCAGACATCTACACTACAGGGTGACACGGCTAGGAGAGACAGGGTCTGGCGTCCAGACATCTACACTACAGGGTGACACGGCTAGGAGAGACAGGGTCTGACGTCCAGACATCTACACTACAGGGTGACACGGCTAGGAGAGACAGGGTCTGACGTCCAGACATCTACACTACAGGGTGACACGGCTAGGAGAGACAGGGTCTGACGTCCAGACATCTACACTACAGGGTGACACGGCTAGGAGAGACAGGGTCTGGCGTCCAGACATCTACACTACAGGGTGACACGGCTAGGAGAGACAGGGTCTGACGTCCAGACATCTACACTACAGGGTGACAGCTAGGAGAGACAGGGTCTGACGTCCAGACATCTACACTACAGGGTGACACGGCTAGGAGAGACAGGGTCTGACGTCCAGACATCTACACTACAGGGTGACACGGCTAGGAGAGACAGGGTCTGACGTCCAGACATCTACACTACAGGGTGACACGGCTAGGAGAGACAGGGTCTGGCGTCCAGACATCTACACTACAGGGTGACACGGCTAGGAGAGACAGGGTCTGACGTCCAGACATCTACACTACAGGGTGACACGGCTAGGAGAGACAGGGTCTGACGTCCAGACATCTACACTACAGGGTGACACGGCTAGGAGAGACAGGGTCTGACGTCCAGACATCTACACTACAGGGTGACACGGCTAGGAGAGACAGGGTCTGACGTCCAGACATCTACACTACAGGGTGACACGGCTAGGAGAGACAGGGTCTGACGTCCAGACATCTACACTACAGGGTGACACGGCTAGGAGAGACAGGGTCTGACGTCCAGACATCTACACTACAGGGTGACAGCTAGGAGAGACAGGGTCTGACGTCTAATGGATTCATATAGACCTATATTATTATGCAGTGTTGTCCCCTGACTGACACAATGACATGCAGATCATTATCATTCCTTCCTCCCATTCCTCCAGCCAAATCACAGCTAGTCCTTCGCAAATATGAGCAAATCAGCCATTCTATGCAGTATTCTATTATACAGTGAACAGTGTGAAGTTAAATTCAATGTGTTGTATTGAGTAGAAGTGTGAATATCAGTGACATGTGCATCACGTTTAGAAAAGGGGAACAACTGTCGTGGGGACGGGGCGAACAGGACGCTAGGCCAATCAGCCGCCCCCCGAGGTATCGTGATACTACTCGCTATGTGAAAACTTGGCCTGGTATCATTAGTACAATGTTGCTATGTGATGACACTACTAAACTGTAGTGACTGTTCTAGTATTCAGTCTTATAGAACAGCATCATCCAGTCCACACAGGGGATCATCCAGTCCACACAGGGGATCATCCAGTCCACACAGGGGATCATCCAGTCCACAGGGGATCATCCAGTCCACACGGGATCATCCAGTCCACACAGGGGATCATCCAGTCCACACAGGGGATCATCCAGTCCACACAGGGGATCATCCAGTCCACACAGGGGATCATCCAGTCCACACAGGGGATCATCCAGTCCTCACAGGGGATCATCCAGTCCACACAGGGGATCATCCAGTCCACACAGGGGATCATCCAGTCCACACAGGGGATCATCCAGTCCACACAGGGGATCATCCAGTCCACACAGGGGATCATCCAGTCCACACAGGGGATCATCCAGTCCACAGGGGATCATCCAGTCCACACAGGGGATCATCCAGTCCACACAGGGGATCATCCAGTCCACACAGGGGATCATCCAGTCCACACAGGGGATCATCCAGTCCACACAGGGGATCATCCAGTCCACACAGGGGATCATCCAGTCCACACAGGGGATCATCCAGTCCACACAGGGGATCATCCAGTCCACAGGGGATCATCCAAGATGGCGTAGCGGTGTGGTCATGTACTCTGTAGTCCGTGTAAATAGCCTTTTTTTTTTTTTTTTTTTGGTCTCTTTCGTATATATTTCTCAATCACACTTTTCATCCTTCTACTAAGTCTACTTTCCTGCAACCCACCTCACCCAATGTGGAACGGATTCTATTATTTATTTTACACTTTTTATCCAGAACCTCCAGTTGAAACTAGCCAGCTAACTAGCTACTTGCTATTAGCCACCGTTAGCGGTTTTTACCATTGTCCGTGGCCTGCACTACCTACCAGCCAGCTCTAGCCTGGACTATTATCGACCAGTCTGCACAGCGCGCTATCGACTCGCTATCGACCAAGAACATATCGGATTTTCTGCCGGAATCACTAAATCACTGGATCTTAACACCGGATCATCGCAAATAGCTAGCTGCAACCGAATGGATGTTGTTGGCTAATCACCACCACGCCCTTAGCAAGCACCAGTTAGCCTTGAGCTAGACTCGAGCCAGGCCCATCTCCCGGCTATCTACCTCTCTGTCAACCGGACGGGACCTCCTAGTGTCGACACGGAGCCCCGCCAATCCATCACGACCGGTCTGCCGACGTAATCGTCTGACGTGGTTTCAACAGGCTTCCCGTTGCGACGACCACGAAGATCCATCTGCTAGCCCCGGCCCGCTAGCACACGCAATCAACAGCCGTGCTTCTTGCTCGCCTGTGCTGTAGCAGCCATTCGAACTGCTCCCGGTCTCACCTATTTCTGTTCACTGGACCTTATGATCACTCAGCTGCACAGCTGATGCCTGCTGGACTGTTCCTTTACACGGTACTCCATCCTGTTTATCTGTTTAGCCTCAGCCCAAACTTTCGTCGCCATTACCAGTTGTTGTCTTAGCCCTCTCGAATAACACCTGTGATTGCTTTATGCCTCTATCCCATGTCAATATGCCTAGCCTATTGCTGTTCCGGTTAGTTCTTATTATACAATTTCACTGTAGAGCCCCCAGTTCAGCTCAACCAGCCTCAGATAGCTCCTTTGTCCCACCCCCCATACACGCGGAGACCGGCTCAATCGGTGCCTCCAGTGATGCTCTCTCTTTCATTGTTACCCAACGCTTAGGTTTACCTCCTCTGTACTCATATCCTTCCATATCCTTGTCTGTACATAATGCCCTGAATCTATTCTACAACGCCCAGAAATCAGTTCCTTTTATTCTCTGTACCCAACGCACTAGAAGACCAGTTCTTAAAGCCTTTAGCCGTATCCTTATTCTACTCCTCCTCTGTTCCTCTGGTGATGTAGAGGTTAACCCAGGCCCTGTAGCCCCCAGTATCACTCCTACTCCCCAGGCGCTGTCATTTGTTGACTTCTGTAACCGTAAAAGCTTTGGTTTTTTGCATGTTAACATCAGAAGCCTCCTCCCTAAGTTTGAGTTATTCACTTCGTTAGCACACTCCGCCAACCCTGATGTTCTAGCAGTGTCTGAATCCTGGCTCAGGAAGGCCACCAAAAACTCTGACATTTCCATCCCAAACTATAACATTTTCCGTCTAGATAGAACTGCCAAAGGGGGCGGAGTTGCAATCTACTGTAGAGGTAGCCTGCAGAGCTCTATCATACTATCCAGGTCTGTGCCCAAACAGTTTGAGCTTCTACTTCTAAAAATCCACCTTTCCAGAAATAAGTCTCTCACTGTTGCCGCTTGCTACAGACCCCCCTCAGCCCCCAGCTGTGCCCTGGACACCATATGTGAATTGATTGCCCCCCCATTTATCCTCAGAGTTCGTACTGCTTGGTGACCTAAACTGGGATATGCTTAACACCCCGGCCGTCCTACAATCTAAACTAGATGTCCTCAATCTCACACAAATTATCAACGAACCTACCAGGTACAACCCTAAATCCGTAAACATGGGCACCCTCATAGATATCATCCTGACTAATTTACCCTCTAAATACACCTCCGCTGTCTTCAACCAGGATCTCAGCGATCACTGCCTCATTGCCTGCGTCCGTAATGGGTCCGCGGTCAAACGACCACCCCTCATCACTGTCAAACGCTCCCTAAAACACTTCGGCGAGCAGGCCTTTCTAATTGACCTGGCCCAGGTATCCTGGATGGATATTGACCTCATTCCGTCAGTAGAGGATGCCTGGTTGTTCTTCAAAAGTGCTTTCCTCTCCATCTTAAATAAGCATGCCCCATTAAAAAAAGTCAGAACTAAGAACAGATATAGCCCCTGGTTCTCCTCAGACTTGACTGCCCTTGACCAGCACAAAAACATCCTGTGGCGTACTGCATTAGCATCGAACAGCCCCAGCGATATGCAACTTTTCAGGGCAGTCAGGAACCAATATACACAATCAGTTAGGAAAGCAAAGGCTAGCTTTTTCAAACAGAAATTTGCATCCTGGCCAGGTCGCAGTTGTAAATGAGAACTTGTTCTCAACTGGCTTACCTGGTTAAATAAAGGTGAAATAAAAAATAAATAAATAAAATCCAGTCCACACTCTACTGTTTGGTAGAAGCAGGCTAAGTGTTATGTTCTGGTCCAGGCTGGTGTGCATCTACAGCAGAGTAGTTTGTAGACGGTCTACACAAACATACTGGATTGGTCATGTCTGTGTGTGTGTCTGTCTGTGTGTCTGTCTGTGTGTCTGTCTGTGTGTCTGTGTGTGTGTCTGTGTGTGTGTGTTCACCCTGAGTATGCGGTCTCTGTGTGTGTGTGTGTGTCTGTGTGTGTGTGTGTGTGTTCACCCTGAGTATGCTGTCTCTGTGTGTGTGTGTGTGTGTGTTCACCCTGAGTATGCTGTCTCTGTGTGTGTGTGTGTGTGTGTGTTCACCCTGAGTATGCCATCTCTGTGTGTGTGTGTGTGTGTGTGTGTGTGTGTGTGTGTGTGTGTGTGTGTGTTCACCCTGAGTATGCTGTCTCTGTGTGTGTGTTCACCCTGAGTATGCCATCTCTGTGTGTGTGTCTGTGTGTGTGTCTGTGTGTGTGTGTTCACCCTGAGTATGCTGTCTCTGTGTGTGTGTGTGTTCACCCTGAGTATGCCATCTCTGTGTGTGTGTGTGTGTGTGTGTGTGTGTTCACCCTGAGTATGCCATCTCTGTGTGTGTGTGTGTTCACCCTGAGTATGCCATCTCTGTGTGTGTGTGTGTGTGTGTGTGTGTGTGTGTGTGTGTGTGTGTGTGTTCACCTTGAGTATGCTGTCTCTGTGGCTGTCATTGTTGAAGAGGAAGGTGGTGAAGACTGGAACATGGACGCTGTCCGACAGCACGGTCAGGTAGGTCTCTGAGAACTGGAAGGCTGGGCCATGCTGCTGCTGAAGCTGCCACACACACTCCAGGAAGAGCAGGAACACTGGAGACTGGCTCTGAGAGGACGGAGAGAGATGGACACGGTCATCCCCTATACACCACACACACTCCAGGAAGAGCAGGAACACTGGAGACTGGCTCTGAGAGGACGGAGAGAGACGGACACGGTCATCAGACTGGCTCTGAGAGGACGGAGAGAGACGGACACGGTCATCAGACTGGCTCTGAGAGGACAGAGAGAGACGGACACAGTCATCAGACTGGCTCTGAGAGGACGGAGAGAGACGGACACGGTCATCAGACTGGCTCTGAGAGGACGGAGAGAGACGGACACGGTCATCAGACTGGCTCTGAGAGGACGGAGAGAGACGGACACGGTCATCAGACTGGCTCTGAGAGGACGGAGAGAGACGGACACGGTCATCAGACTGGCTCTGAGAGGACGGAGAGAGACGGACACGGTCATCAGACTGGCTCTGAGAGGACGGAGAGAGACGGACACGGTCATCAGACTGGCTCTGAGAGGACAGAGAGAGACGGACACAGTCATCAGACTGGCTCTGAGAGGACGGAGAGAGACGGACACGGTCATCAGACTGGCTCTGAGAGGACGGAGAGAGACGGACACGGTCATCAGACTGGCTCTGAGAGGACGGAGAGAGACGGACACGGTCATCAGACTGGCTCTGAGAGGACAGAGAGAGACGGACACAGTCATCAGACTGGCTCTGAGAGGACGGAGAGAGACGGACACGGTCATCAGACTGGCTCTGAGAGGACGGAGAGAGACGGACACGGTCATCCCCTATACACCAAAGTTGTGTTCTATAAGGCATATCGCAGGTCTCAAATCCTTGAATCCCCCACAGTCCTTGATTCTTAAAAATTCCTCGCCTCCTTCTCAAAGCTCATTGGAGGAGGATGTCAAGGGGAGGGACATTGGAGCCTCTCCACCAATAAGCTTTGAGAGGGAGGCGAGGAGAGGAATCAAGGTTTTGACAGCTAGTTAAAGTTTTCAGACAACAGAATAGACCTAAAACAGGACACAGATCCTACCTCCACCTTGTCCTTGAGGTGCAGATGGTTGGAGCGATCCAGGAAGGCATGTCCTCCTACCACCCACTCCTTCTGCACCAGACTCTGGAAGCCCAGAAGAGTTCTGTAGTAGGGGTCCAACATCAACTGGACCAGACTGGAGACCACACAGCACAGGTCCGAACCGCCCTCCTCTGGAACAATACAATACAACTTAACAGCACAGGTCCGAACCGCCCTCCTCTGGAACAATACAATACAACTTAACAGCACAGGTCCGAACCGCCCTCCTCTGGAACAATACAATACAACTTAACACCACAGGTCCGAACCGCCCTCCTCTGAAACATAAACAATGTTCCAGTATCATTCCTAACATTTATTCAACATCATTTAAGAGAAGTTTTTTTGCAGGACACAGCACAGGCCCAAACCACCTTCCTCTGGAACACAAACAAACGAATATTTAAAAAGGTAGACTCAGTGATATGACGTAGATGCAGAGAGTAAACAGCATACTGGGTCAATTTCTGCAACAACGAAGGAGTGTTGAAGGGAGAGGCTCAACTTCTCAGCTGTTTTGGTGCTCTGGCCACCACACTGTAAACATCAGATACTGGGTGTGACTGTGTGACAGCGATGTCTTGCATCTCGCTCATCTCAGTATCTCCGGTGCTGCTCGTGGCAACGTCATTTAGCTGAGTCTACCTTCAATTAATGTCATTGTTTTTATTGAACCAGGAAGATAGTCCACTCAGTAACTATTGCCACTGCTCTCCTGGGAGTCCATGAGTCATTACATTGTAGTCATTTAGCAGACGCTCTTATCCAGAGCGACTTACAGCTAGTGAGTGCATACATTTTTCATACTGCCCCCCCATGGGAATCGAACCCACAACCCTGGCGTTGCAAGCGCCACGCTCTACCAACTGGGCTACAGGAGGACAAATGTTCTTAAGCAAAGTAATTAAAAAGACGTCAAACAAAATGTCAGGTCACAGGATCTGTGTGGCCAACCCTTGACAAATAAAATACAACCCTCCTCAAACAACTAGCAAACAATAACAAGATAACTAATGTAAAGCATACTGTGTCCATAATAAGTACAGTGGGGAGAACAAGTATTTGATACACTGCCGATTTTGCAGGTTTTCCTACTTACAAAGCATGTAGAGGTCTGTAATTTTTTATCATAGGTACACTTCAACTGTGAGAGACGGAATCTAAAACAAAAATCCAGAAAATCACATTGTATGATTTTTAAGTAATTAATTTGCATTTTATTGCATGACATAAGTATTTGATCACCTACCAACCAGTAAGAATTCCGGCTCTCACAGACCTGTTAGTTTTTCTTTAAGAAGCCCTCCTGTTCTCCACTCATTACCTGTATTAACTGCACCTGTTTGAACTCGTTACCTGTATAAAAGACACCTGTCCACACACTCAATCAAACAGACTCCAACCTCTCCACAGTGGCCAAGACCAGAGAGCTGTGTAAGGACATCAGGGATAAAATTGTAGACCTGCACAAGGCTGGGATTAGATACAGGACAATAGGCAAGCAGCTTGGTGAGAAGGCAACAACTGTTGGCGCAATTATTAGAAAATGGAAGAAGTTCAAGATGACGGTCAATCACACTCGGTCTGGGGCTCCATGCAAGATCTCACCTCGTGGGGCATCAATGATCATGAGGAAGGTGAGGGATCAGCCCAGAACTACACGGCAGGACCTGGTCAATGACCTGAAGAGAGCTCAGACCACAGTCTCAAAGAAAACCATTAGTAACACACTACGCCGTCATGGATTAAAATCCTGCAGCACACACAAGGTCCCCCTGCTCAAGCCAGCGCATGTCCAGGCCCGCCTGAAGTTTGCCAATGACCATCTGGATGATCCAGAGGAGGAATGGGAGAAGGTCATGTGGTCTGATGAGACAAAAATAAAGCTTTTTGGTCTAAACTCCACTCACCGTGTTTGGAGGAAGAAGAAGGATGAGTACAACCCCAAGAACACCATCCCAACCGTGAAGCATGGAGGTGGAAACATCATTCTTTGGGGATGCTTTTCTGCAAAGGGGACAGGATGACTGCACCGTATTGAGGGGAGGATGGATGGGGCCATGTATCGCGAGATCAGTAAGAGCATTGAAGATGGGTCGTGGCTGGGTCTTCCAGCATGACAACGACCCGAAACACACAGCCAGGACAACTAAGGAGTGGCTCCGTAAGAAGCATCTCAAGGTCCTGGAGTGGCCTAGCCAGTCTCCAGACCTGAACCCAATAGAACATCTTTGGAGGGAGCTGAAAGTCCGTATTGCCCAGCGACAGCCCCGAAACCTGAAGGATCTGGAGAAGGTCTGTATGGAGGAGTGGGCCAAAATCCCTGCTGCAGTGTGTGCAAACCTGGTCAAGACCTACAGGAAACGTATGATCTCTGTAATTGCAAACAAAGGTTTCTGTATCAAATACTTATGTCATGCAATACAATGCTACTCCTGTAGCCCATCCCAGCCTTGTGCAGGTCTACAATTTTATCCCTGATGTCCTTCCACAGCTCTCTGGTCTTGGCCATTGTGGAGAGGTTGGAGTCTGTTTGATTGAGTGTGTGGACAGGTGTCTTTTATACAGGTAACGAGTTCAAACAGGTGCAGTTAATACAGGTAATGAGTGGAGAACAGGAGGGCTTCTTAAAGAAAAACTAACAGGTCTGTGAGAGACAGAATTCTTACTGGTTGGTAGGTGATCAAATACTTATGTCATGCAATAAAATGCAAATGAATTACTTAAAAATCATACAATGTGATTTTCGTTGTAGATTCCGAATCTCACAGTTGAAGTGTACCTATGATAAAAATTACAGACCTCTACATGCTTTGTAAGTAGGAAAACCTGCAAAATCGGCAGTGTATCAAATACTTGTTCTCCCCATAGGTTATAGGTTGAGAGCTTTTGTGAAAGAGCACAGTTAGAAAAATATGGCATATAGAAGCAAACCAGATGGACATCATGAAAATGATCGGAGGAAGTTCAGGAGTAAAAAACAAACAAAATATAATTATTGTAGAATTTG